CACCCGAGTCCCCAGCCACATGTGGCAGCAGGGTGCCGGGCCAGCCCCGCCTGGCCCCATAGCCACAGCTCTCAAACTCCCACCTGAGTCCCCAGGCACACATGGCGGCAGCATGCAGGGCCAGCCCCATAGCGCTCCTGCCAAAGTCCTCGTCCTCACACATTTTGGCGACCCCTGCTGTAGCATGATGAAGTCATAAATGATTATTAATTTTCCATGGGTTAAATCCCCACCCTTTCCATCCCAGTGGAATCGACCCAAAATCCACAGCATTACACAGCTTGTAGCTAATAGACTGCACTTTAAAGGTAAAACATTACATTTGTTGTCTTGTTTCCCTTTGAGTTCGCTACCTTAGTAAGTGAGCTACTTGTCCTTACACAACTATACAGAAGTAAAACTTAAAAAAACCAACCCAAAACCAGACTAAACAAAATGTTGAGTGACCCATTATGACGGTCATAAGAGTTGTGTGCTCAGAGGCTTGTATCTAAATTTAGACCATGCAGTGTATCGTTCCTTCTGGGCTCAGTATCCCTCTGATAGTTGTGGCAATACAAAATCTAACCTTTTCCTTTTTTTCGTGGAAAAGTTTGGTACCAATCCTCCCTTTTAACTTCTCAGATAAAATAAAAAAAGGTTCTCAATGCCGTTTTTTAAAAAAATTAACTCCAAAATGTGGTGCTGGGTGACCCCATCATCAATCGGCAATTCTTTGCTAAACTGGAAAACTAAGCAAGCAGGTAATTCAAACTGGATGGAGATGCACCTGCTTTCTTAGGTCTGAATTTGGTCCCCCTTGTCTGCAACATCTCTGTATTCTTTTCTTACAAATAGGCAGTGTTAGCATCTCTGGATGCAACAACAACCGAAAAAAAGTGGCTAATAATGCTTAGCACTAATCTCATACACCTCAGCAAGCTAATCAGAACTGCTATGTGATCAATATTATCCCCATTTTACTGATGGCAAGACTCAGGTGTTAAGTGATTTGCCCAGTGTCGGAGCAAATCAGTAAACCAGTTTTAGAGCTTGAAAGCAGTCGCGGTCCAGCCTCGTGGTCTATTTACCAGGCTGCACTGCTGCTGCTTAATCTATTCTTTATTCACAAAAGCCATATTTGAGCTTTGTTCTGGAGGCAGCGCTGACTTCACTTTCCTATCTGCATACAGTTCATCCTCTTGGCTTAGACCTGCGAATTTCTTTTCTCTGATTTGAGGTATTTGAGAGAGCCTCCCTTGAAGCTTTACCTAGACAGACGATCAGTTGGGTTGTGTCAGGTTCCTAGACTTGTATAAGTAATCAGGACTCGTGGTAGAGGTGATATCTTTTAATAAACCCACTAGATTTTTGCACAAAAAAAATCTTCAAATGTTTAATTTCTTTTCTTTTTCTTTTCTTTTTCGGAAAAATCTAATTGGTCTAATAAAAGATATCACCTCTACCATGAGTTCTGATTCCTTTTGCCTGTAGACCCGTATGGTTACAACCTGGATACCTAGACTTGTATAAAGCATGTTGAGAAAACTCATTCGACCCATAGCACGTGCTCCATCTTGTGGTCACATAGATCTGCAATCTGTTTAGGGTTCGGTTTACCTAAGACTCTTCTTTGGATGGAGATCTGGATGGAGCGGTGAGGAAGGCCGTGTAATGGGGAATTAACTTGCATTGATCAGTTGACATTATGTAAGCACCTAGAGACTAATGATGCGTTTGTCTTGTAAATGGCAAATATACGAGGACAAACAATCTACCATAAAAAATATACTTACTGTTGAACAAAGTAAAGCAGGCACCTGGCACTGTGCAGGTAAGGTTCTTTGGGTAGATGTGATATTTTTTATAATACCAGCTAAATAGTTGGGGAAAAGTTCTTTGCAAGTTTTTGGGCACACGCACCCTTCCTCGGGCATTGGGAGACTCGGCTGCTCCTCGGAGTGTGTGCTTACTGAGATTACACGCAATAAACACGATTCTCTCCCAGTTCCAGGTGGCTAAAGGGGAAAATCCTGTTTGCTTGTCAGCAAAGTGTCTGGGTGAGAGTATATAGGCCCCTGTCAAAAAAAAGACCAATAAACTTGGGCTCTTATGATTTAACAAGAGGATGTGGCTCTAGCGTTAAGCATGTCGCTGGGATTATCCTACCTCCATTGCTGCATGCTGTAAATATAGGGACTAGTAATGGGAATACTTCAGCTGCTCACTTGTCCCCACATGAACTATTTGACCATAAGAGCCAAGAACTTGACCGTGTTAAACGCTAATGTCCGTGTTAATGGTTGCTGGGGTTTTAACCATGCTTTTGTGAGAGAGCTTCTTGAAGTGATGGCTGGCCAGCCCTATCAGTACCTTACAATTTCTAATTGTTTTAAATGAAGCCAGATGGACTCCTAGACTTGAGTAGATCAAGGTTCTTCGGGTAAATCCGATATCTTTTATCAGACCAACTCAAATAGTTGGAAAAATTCTTCTTGGCAAGCTTTCGGGTACAAACACCCTTCTTCAGGCAGAGGAAGTGTCATAGACTTTATGACACAGAAATGGAGTTACTGTATTTGCTCAAATCTAAGATGGCCCTGAATGTAAGATGACCCCATAATAATTAGATTCTATATGTGGAAAATTTATACTTGTCCATGTGTAAAACCTAATTATTGGAGGGTCGTCTTTAATTTATTCCCCCACCACCACCACTGTAGGGGTGCAAGCAGTGTGGGGAGGTCAAGTGGCTTGTGTCTGCTCTCTTCCCCCGCCCCCCAGCCTTGGGCCCTGCAACCTACCTTCTGCTTCCCCCCCCAATCATTGCTCCTTGTGGCAGGCTCTGTTCCCCTTCTAACCTGGAGCACTACAGGCTGGAGCCGTGCTTGGTGCCACAGGCTGCACCAGGCATGGAGCCAGAAATGTGGAGCAACAGTAAGAGAGGAGGGAGTGGGATGGACTAAATGACCTCATATGGCTTTCCAT